CCCCCCCCCCCCGCAGTGACTTGGGACTTGCTCGAGACTTGCACATATGCAACTTATTCACACCTCTGCAGAGTTGGTACAACATCACCATCATCAGGTTTGTGAAAGACATTTTCTCACAGTAATATGAAATGTTTGGTTGGGTTGTCTTTGATTCATTTTGCAAAACATAATGGCTAGTCTGCTAGCGACCATCAGCTCGAGGCGGAGGTGAGAGCTAGCAACTAATTCCCCAGCTGTAAAAACCGCAAATACAATTAAGGTCTCGGTGCAGGCAAACCAACAGCAGTTTCCATTGTAAACTTAAGCCATCCAGTGTCCAAAAATGAATTCAAATTGTTGTACAATAGTGTACAATCAATTTTGAGCGCACAATTAAACGGCCTACGTCTTTCTGCTCATTATGCTGGTTGTCTAAACCCTGACCCAGACTCGTTTATTGCAATCTCCTGAATTAATGAGCCATCCCCTCAATGAACATGTTAACTATGTCTGAAATTCCACTTTATCTGTTTTCGAACGAACTTAGTTGTTGAAATGCAGATCACGGCCACCAGACTTCTGCCTCCCTTTCAAGCGGTTTACCTCATGTGACATATTTTTGATTGACACGGCACTCATTGTAACTATGGCTGTGGAAAAGAAGGCTAAAATCATTGGTTCAAGCCAATTAAGCTATTTTGTCAATCACTCTGCCTTGGTCAAATGACATGGAAGGGTTTGCTTACTAGTGGTGATTGGAGATCTAGTACTACTCTGTAAAAACATACAGGACACTTTAAAATCCTAACAGTACTCCTTTTTGAAAAGAGACAAGTTAACACAATTGAAACCTTTAAAATAGTTAGAATCACTCAATCTAAAAAAATGAACCTGTCTCAAAAACAACTGTGTGTAGTAGTAACTCAGGTGCGATGATTACAATACAAATTTGGAGCATTTTATGTAGGCCTAATGACAATTTAATTCCCTCATTTTCAGTCAAAATGTGTTGTAATTAACCAGAACCCTTCCAAGAGTGGAGTCCTGCTTTTGTTTTAAAAAGAGTATTCAAGCCACAAGTTCGTCCTCATGACATTGGAGTTTGACACTTGCTGAAACAATAGGAAAATGACAGTATTTTCAACAAGTTCATTTTTGGATCAATAAACTTAGTTACATATATATATATATATATATATATATATATATATATATATATAGAGAGATAAAACCATGGATTTTCATCATGCTCGTCTCAACTCCTCCCGACCCCACAGCTTTTGCTTCAATTTCCGCTAGGCTGTACCCCACTTTAACTGGCGGCCCATCAGCTGCTTCAGGAGTCCGATAAACTTGCCAAGCTTGCCAAGCTCAGTATGTTTTTTTCTTTCTTCTAGCATTGTAGTCAAAACAAAGGACTATATGATCCAGAAAAATGTAAATGTTTTTCAAAGGATTTGAAGAAATGTTTCGATTATTTTAAGAAATATAGACCTGAATAGTATACAGAGTGTATAACTTCCTTTCGGCACCACTGTAATAACCACTCGTTCCTGGCCTCACTATGGAATTAGCTGAATCCAAGATTGTTCTAATCATGCAATAGAAGAGCCTTTCCATCTACTGATTAAACACTTAGGCCAGACCTGGGCAAAGTACGGCCCAGGGGCTACAACCGGCACACCCACAGTCTCTGTCCGACCTTACTAGTGACCATGAATTCAAAGTAAAACGAAAAATACGCGATGCTTCCATTTTGATCGTTGTGCTTTTTACGTGCGCACGTGTAGACGCTCGTGCACGCAAGGTAGCAAGCAAAAGCTGTGACTATTCTGAAGTGCTGCTTAGCAACAAATGTCGTGACTTTAAGCGGCCCCTATTGCGATTGTTTTTTTACCAAAAAGAGGCAAGGATGACAACAATGATCCTAATGCGAGCAACATTCTTCTTTCCCTGCTGGGGTGAGGAAAGTGAGTCAAGTGGATTTAGTCAAGTCCCTACATTGCATAATGTGAACAGTTGAAAAAAAAAAAATTACCGGTAGTCTCCTTCGCCCAACTGAGGATGTCAAAACATGCCCTCCACTATTGTAAGGGACTCCTCCCAAACTGCACACACTCTCTTTGCCCAGCATACAATCAAGACGTAGGCTTTGCAGCAAGACCTGCACTGCAAGCTTCTGCAACGGCTTCTTCATTGAGCTGTCAGAGCCCTGCACACAATGGCCTGACATCAACATTACACAGTAAATGTCTCTCTCTTGGGGAAAGGAAATCTGTTCTGTCACCAAAGCAAATGTACAATGGACCTTTTCACACACTGACATTTCCTC